AGAGAGAATCCCAAGCAGGCTCTGTGCTGTTGGCACAGAGCCCAGCATAGGGCTCAATCCCACGAACCACGAGACCATGACCTGAGCCAAGACCAAGAGTAAGATGCTCATCTGACTGAGCCACCCAGGAGTCCCCCATTTGCCTAATTTAAAAGCGTGACCCTGTCCCCTTGGAACTTATTTAGTTTGAAAAACATGGATGTCTAAAAAGAGATACTAGAAGGGAGAAGGACAAGGACCACAAATCACAGAAGGGCATAAACCTGCCGCCAAGACCAACTTCCCAACGGTTCAAGGTCACTGTCTGATCCTTACTTCAGCTTTTGCTGCCCTTGTTTCCACAGAGCAAATACTGCCTCTGGGTCTCCCCAGCCCCTCCCTGACTCACTGACTTAACTGTCCTTTCTTCTCACTGAACACACTTTGCCCTCAGGCTCATTCTTTCCACTTGAACCTTAGATTTCTGCCAAGGCCGCTGGATCCAGGCTGCCAAGCCACGTGCGCTGGGTGTCCTACAGATTCTGAGACTGGATCCAAGAAACAAACAACACCGAGTGACATGGGGAAACACGGACCCCAAAGGGTCCTCAGTCTGGTGCAGAATTGCTCCCTCAAAACCCAGCTCTTAATGGCTAGCTGTGTTCTGGAATCGAGGAGCAGAGGAAGGTGAAGGTGGCTCAGGCCCCACTCCTAAAAAGCTCATGCCCAGCCTGGCCGGGGAACAAGCCGCTACAGCTCACCAGATGACACGGCGAACAATGGAAGTTGTGTAAGAGAGTCGTGTGTGCTCTGGCACCCAAGGGAAAGAGCCATTAATCTTGTGTGTGTGTGTGTGTGTGTGTGTGTGTGTGTGTGTGTGTGTGAGAGAGAGAGAGAGAGAGAGAGAGAGTTTGGCGGGATGGAAGTAACTTCACACAGCAGGTGGCATCTGAGTAGGATTCTGACACATGGAAAGAGAAACTGACACACGGGCCAGGGAAAACCCCAGGAAGAAAGCCTGGGTACAGGGAACAGTCCATGACCAAGGTGGACAGCTAGGGCAGTGGGGAGGGGTGGGTGGGCAAGGCACACAAGTCTGGGGTAGTTGTGAAAGGTCTAGAACCTCACATTAACAAATCGGGACTTTATCCCACAGATCAGTGGCTCTGAGTCTTTTGGATTTGGGGTTTCACAACGAGTTCAACAAGTTTGGGGGCTTATCCAAGATGGCGAAGTGGCTGTTTTGCAAAATAAGGCCATTAAAACCAACACCAACCACCCCCTTACTATTATCATCATTTTATAAAAGGGCATTTGAACTCCAAAATAGTAGAACGCAAACCCAGGGCGAAGGACTGTCCTCCTTTCCCCACCCAACCCCTGCCAAAAGACAGTGGACACTCTCCTGCTGACATCATGTGCCCACTACCCTGTCCTTGCTCTCATCTTCCACAACAGGAAACTTCCTCACAGAACAGGGCTGGGAGCCACAGCTGGGGGACAGGCAGTGACCCAAGAGCTCGGACCAGGGAGTTACACCTGTCGCTGGCATCCAAAATATGACATGTGTCTTGCTCACAGATCCAAAAACTCAAAATGATGACAGTGCCAGGCATGGTGTCCACCACGGGGCTCCTGTGTATGACCCTGAGGACACCGCAGGTGTAGCTGCTGCTCCTCTCTGGAAGGGATGCTCCACGGTCAAGTGGGTTTGGGGAACACCCAGACTCTAATAAACGTTAATTACGCGTGTGTTTATTTCTGTAAGACCTGAACATGCGGGTGACTCTTTAAGATGGGACCGTGACATGCAGTGCTTCCCTGACTCATTTGACCGTGGAAACCTCTTCTCAACACACCCCGTGTGGGCGCTGCCCCATGCACGCCCCTTCACTGCTTGGCAGGCGGGAGGCCAGCGTGGGCGGATTAGGGCACAGCAGCGCGAGCACCGTGGAAGCCCCGGCAAGTGTCAGTGAAGGACAAGCCATGCACCTGGCGGGCAGCAGCGTGTGAGTACCTCAAGGTCGGAGTTGATGGAGGAGACTTCACAGGAGCTGCTGGAAGACACGTGGGCCCGGATGACCTGAACGGGAGGGTAAGAGGGCGGCTCCTGCAGGTTCGCGTCTCCAGGGTTCATCTGTCCATCGCCAGGCAGCCGGGTGGTGCTGCAGCCTGCCTGCAGGGTGTGTGGGCAAAGGGCAGGCAGGGAGACTTAGTCTACTTTATTTCTGAATTGTCGAAGCATTCACATGGGCTGGTGTTCAGAAGGTACCAAAAGGTGGCTGAGTCAGATGAGCTCGGACTCTTGATTTGGGCTCAGGTCATGATCTCCTGGTTCATGGGATCGAGCCCTGCATCTGGCTCTGTGCTGGCAGTGCAGAGCCTGCTTGGGATTCTCTCTCTCCCCCCTCTCTCTCTCAAAATAAATAAATGAACATTTATGTTTTTTAAAAGGTACAAAAAGGGTGTAGAAGGCGAGGTCCGCTCCCACCTGAATCCCCCAGGCACCCAGTTCTCCCCAGGGGCAACCAGCGCTCAGTTTCTTGTGTATCTGTCCAGATAGTCCATACATAACCTATCGAATGCAGATATATGACTTCCCTAGTTCTACAAAGGCTGCCAGCACATCTACACTCTCCTATGCACCTTTCTTTTTCTCACTTAACAATGTGTCCTAGAGATAGCTCTAGAGCAGAGGCTTTTTTTTTGTTGTTGTTGTTTCTTTTGTGGCATCATGTAAGTGTTCCCAATCTGCTTAACCTGTCCTCAAACTGATGGACATTGAAGGCATTTCCAGTCTCATGCTTGTTTGCTTGGCTGTTTTTTTTTTTCCGAGAGAGACAGAGTGCAAGTGGGGTAGGGGCAGAGAGAGAGGGAGACACAGAATCCGAAGCAGACTCCAGGCTCCGAGCTGTCAGCACAGAGCCCGACGCAGGGTTCCAACCCACAGACCGTGAGTTAATGACCTGAGCAGAAGTTGGATGCTTAACCAACTGAGCCACCCAGGAGCCCTCCAATCTCTTGCTTTTACAACACTGACTGCAATAAATTATACCGTACACCCAAGGTTTCAGGGTTTTTAAAGGACCAATTTCTAGAAGTGGAATTGCTGGATCAGAGGATACATGCATTTGTAATTTGGATAGCAACTGCCAAAATGCACTGCATGGGTTCATACCCACCAACAGGTGGGGAGGTTAAAGGGAGGAAGAGACTTACAAGATTTCTATCTATCACCTATCTATCTGTCTGTCTATCCATCCATCCATCCATCCATCCATCCATCCATCTGCCCATCCATCCACCATCCATCCGTCCATCCATCCATCCATCCATCCATCCATCCATCTCAAGAGAGCTTCCCCCACAGAGCTCCTGGGGGCTGTCAGAGTTCCTGGAAACTCTGTTGGCCAGGGTTTCAGAGTGGGCAGGATTTGGGTCGTTCCACTGATACATCACAGGGCAACAGCCTGCCTTCTGGATCCACATCTTCCACAATGAAGCACATGCCAAGGTATGTATCTAGCGAAGGGGGTGGTAATCCCTGCCTTGCCTCATTTGAAGGGGTGTCACAGGGCTCAGATGTAATGCCCTGGACACATGAGAATGGCTACTCGTACTGGGCCCCAAACCACGTGGGGCTCTAGCCCTGGATGGGTTAAGTACACAGTTCCACACGAGAGTTGGCTAGACAGGCTAGGGGGCGGGGGGCACGGGCCTCCCAGGCAACATCAACAATAGATTCTTTTTTTTTTTTAATTTTTTTTTTTAAGTTTATTTATTTTTG